TCGAGTGGGTGTAATGTGACTAACCTTTTTGACAAGCACTACTACTAATGACGTTATTTAACAGGCATTAAGCAGGGTGAATATCTTCCAGAGCAGCATTCCACTCAGCTGAAAACAAAAACGCAGCTGTGTGCGTCGGACAACTGTTTGTGTTGAACATTTCGTTGTTGCTGACATTGGTTATGCAGCTGTTGGTGTCTGTAGTGTTGATAACTGGTGACGAAGCGAGCATATTGACGCTCAAGTTTGGCCAATAGTGCTCTAACCCATCTCACATACAGAGGTACGCGTCAAATAGCCTTGGATTGGAGAACTTTATTGCACCCTCAGACACGGCATTCATTACCTAGCGTTGCTGCTAAATGCACACTCCTCATAATACGGTTTATTGCTATTTGATTCAATAGTGAGCTCTAATAACAAAACTTCAATATGAGAACGGTGTTGTTGTTCTCGGATCGTTCTTTCTCGACGTCCATTCACTCAAAGATTCTCCAGCTACTGCTTAAGAATGCTTTCGCTACTACTGAGCTAGTAACAGTGTGAGATGTGGTAATAAAGCCCGGTGCTGCGAAGACGAGGGAGAAAGCCATCGAAAGTGGGAGCTGGAGATGGCGCTTTTCTTACAGGAATTACTCGGTACGTGCTCAGCTACTAATGACTCGTTGCGTTCGACCTAACAACTTCTAATCTTTTGGTGGGCTCTTAGGTGGTGGCGGATATATTGCAGCGTGTGCAAGGCCTTTCAAGATAATCGTTCACATCGGTTCACACAAGTTGCCGCCTCTTACAATACTCCGTGTTGTTATACGTTCCTTCAGGATATTGAAGATAATATTCCCACACTGACAGCACCAATTTTTTTTCATATTATGCGTATTGATCTCTCTTTCATATTCTGCGCTTTTTCCACAGGCAACGAATGGACATTCTCCAACAACGTAAATACCTGGCGCGATACTTACCCCAGCTTCCTCTATCTCCATCAGTGGTGTCGTGCAGCTCCTCACGTTCTGACCGGCTTCTTGACAGCGGCTGCATGTGTAGGTTTCCCGTTTGCTTCTCCGCGCGCCCTTCACTTGCGAGTTGAAAAACTCTGCAATTGCCTTGCTATCATCAACGCTGTGTACATCACTAGGCACACACTGACGAACTATTCGAGCCGGTGACCCAGCACATTCACCTCGGTTTGGCGTTCTTCTTTTACCAGTTGCAAAGTCTCTGGATTCTTTCGAACGCTTGCGTGATTGACCAGCTTGACGATATAACGGTGGGGGCTTGACTTCGTTTGTCTGCTCAAGTTCGTCAAACAGAGGAAGACTGATAACAGTGGAGTCAAAGGCCTCTACCATTTTCGACACAGTCTAAGCTTCATGGAAGTAGTGCTTGATATCATAGGCCGGAAGTCCACTATTTGTCTGCCTTGATCTCCAGAAAGCGACTGCCTGCATGTGACGGCAAGGGACTTGCATTTGCTCAGCAATAGTGCATCGAGTGCAAGTTCCACAGTCCATGTTAACTTCGTAGAGATGTGCGTCCCCACCTAGACTGCGGCTATCGAAGGCGTCAAAAAACGTAGAAGAGAGACTCGTCTCCCTGCACGACTGTCTGGTGGGCTACCAGTTCTTTCTCCTTTTCGAACTCGTTCAGAGCGCGAGGATTGATATCACAACTTTCACTATTCCACTCCTGGACGAGCTCCTTACGCTTCTGCAAAACTTGAGTGCTCGTGTACAGTACGTCATGACTGAACCTAGCACAAATTGGGTCCGCACACGTCCCCATAGTAGCCCGTTGTTCTCTCCTTCGACAGCACTCGTAGTGCGGATACCAAACAGAGGCAAAGCGTCGCCATGCTTTGGGACAGACGACCAGTTACCCTCTGTCCACTTTATTTCCTCTGTTGTTGCCTTCATATTTCCGACAACACACCAATCTGTGGGATGAATACTGCAAAGGTAGCTCCAAACGTGCTCCTCGACGATCTTCTCCGCAAAAACCTTTGAAATTCCGGCGGGATACTTGGATGCTATCTTAGCTTTGATGAGCTCATACCCTTCGATTGTAGAAGCGCCTTGAAGCGAAAAAATATCGTCGTTTACGGACTTCAAGTTTAACCTCAGAGACTTGAACTTGTCCATGGTGTTAAACCTGATATGCAGTGTGCAGAATTTCAATTGTATTTTCATGTTGATGCGAAGCAACAAGGCTTGAGCTGTTAGCTGTTTTCCTCTGTCGCAAAACGCAGGCCGAATGTTCAGCGACAATACAGTTTCCGAAAAACGAGGCAAAGTTGTGGATGGTCTCTATGTAAATGTAGGCCACGGCAATAGGTACATTTTGATTGTTCCCGTCCTTACCAATAATTGTCAAACAAATGCCATTGTACGACGGATCCTTCATGTGCGTGCCATCGCACTCCCAAACAGGTAAAAATGCGTCTTGCACATTCACAGCACTACCAATACATAAGAAGGCTCTATAAAACCTCCCCTCTGAGTCCAACTGACAGCAAACCCGTGAACCAGGGTTTTT